CCGCACGACCGACTCTTTCCGCTGCCTCTCATCGTCTCTAACGCTCCCTCCTTCGACGCCGTTCTCATCTGAATCTCGGTTGCTGTTGTTGCCTGACCTTGGCTTTGTGGATGGACTGTGAAAATTCTGTGGTCTTTTCGCCACCGCTTCAGAGAGCGTCGATCTCGGGCTCGCTCACGGATCGTTCCCTCGAATGGATGTTCCTTGCTGCTGCCACTCTTCCCAAAATGCCTGTGATTTTTCCGTCGTTTCAGGCTCCTTGAATACCTTTCTTCTATTTGCTTCTCGCCTTATCTCCACTGCCAATGGCGTCATATCATCGATCTCGAATTCCGCATCGGTCCGTTCATTTCCTGATGATCCTTCGGCATCTATTCTTCGTTCGTCTCGCTCAACCGTTGTTTCTGTATTCTGGACCTCATTGTCTCTAATTTCACTTGTTCGTTGCTCTATTTCGCTTTCTCCTATCTTTTCCGTCACGTCAATCTCGGTAGCGGCCTGCGCTGCTTCCGTCTCCCACGTCGCCTTGCGCGTTAATCGCACCGCTGTATTTAAAATCTTGCAATTCTTGTACTGCAACACGCCTTCTAACGTTTCGCCTTTCAATCTACGGTGAGCGTTATCGTGAATTTGCACTGTGATCGCGATACTTCCCACCGTGTCATTTTGCCACTTGATCGGTATTACTTTAGTTGAGTATTGTCCGCCAATAGATCTTGCCTCGATCTTTCTGAGGGCTATTTCCAATTTCTGCGACGCTTCCTTACTCTTAGATTCAGTTCTTCTGCGTTTCTCCTGCTCTGCCTCAAGCTGCGCGAGTCTCATCTGAGCTATCTGGATCCTTTTAAGCCGCTCTTCGTGTTCCCTTTCCTCCGCTATTCTTTCCTCGATTCGCTTCGCTATACTCATCTCAAGCTCCTCGAGCGTCGTTCCTTCGCTTTTTTCCGCCATCTCGTCTCGTCTCCTTCTACTGCACTTCGCACTATATCGCTTTCCTCTACGTTCGTAATTGTTCGAAACCTTCTCTCGATGTCTAGTGCTCGCGACGAATTTTCCGCTGCAATGTTGCCTCGATAACGACTGCGACCAGACTGACTTGCAGTCCGCCCTTCCTGGTACGCCACCTCGGTCGTCTACCTTTATCGCGGCTACTACAAAGGTGTCATCGGCGCCTTTCGCGGAGTGAATTTTCTTTGCGCGCGGTTTCTTTATTGCAATTTCCTGGAATCGCTCTCGCCTCGCGGCCCTTCTCGGTATCTCGCTCTTACTTTTATCATACAATTTTTCTCGCTCGCTCCCGCTTTCACTCGCGGTCTTCGCTATCTTACTTTCTATTGGCTCTCTTCTTACTTTCCGTTGTATTCTTTCTATATCTTCTATTTCCTTCGTTATCCTTAATTCTTCCAAACTTTCTTCCTCGTCGCTGGTAAGTATACGATTCTTTCTTAATTTCTCACGATTAACTCTTCTTATTTTCAGATCTCGTTCCATGGTGATGCGGCTCCAGGGATTCCTCCTTACCGATGTCATCCTTTTTCTTACAACATATGGTACCTCTCTTCGCTCATTGGTAAGTATCTCTTTTCCCTTACTCTGACTAATTGAATTATTATTTTCAGATTCATTCATCGCTGCTGTATCGACGCTGGCTTCGTCGCTCTCTCTTCGATTACTGACTGCTGTCAAATTATCCATTGTTTCAATTTTTGAATTTTCTTCTAGAGTCGATTTCGATTGGTCGGTTTTGCTATTTTCTTTCTCTTCCAGCCGTTTTCCGTTTCCATATGTCTTTTTTCTTGGTCTTCCTCTTTGACGTTTCTTCGTGTCTATCGTCCATCTATTTATCCATTCGTTGTGCGTATTCCTAGTTTTTCGCTTTTTTAATCGTCTCTCGGGGATTTCTTCCGTCCCTTTCGATCGCTCATTTTGCATTCCGCTCGTACCTGGTTGTGGTTCGTCGTCCTCCTCATTCGTCAAATCAATTAAATTTAATTGTACCGATGCTATTCTCGGTTCACGTTCGTATAAATCTCTAAATCTCGCATGTCTATGC